CAAAATGAATATCTAATATAGTACAGATGTATATAAAAAGAATGCGACTAAAAAATGATTTCAAATAACTCAAAAATAAAAGGTGATAGTGAGTCAAAGTTTTTCTCATTGACAACTAATACGTGATAGAGAAAGTAATAGAAAATAATTAGCTTCTTTTATGATATTTTAAATCCAAAACCACCATGACCGCCCAGCTCTAGTCCAGACAATTTTTACTATAATTATTTTATTATTATTAGATAATTAGCTTTATCAATTAAAAAAAAAATGAATAGTTCACCATATGTAACTTTGCTATTATAATATATGTATATGTATAATGTAGTGGATCCAATCAACGTTGCTAGTGGACATTGAGGACGGTAAGGTGGCGTTCATGGTGGTGCGTATGTGGAGGTGGGTGGGTTAGGATGCGAGTGACACAAATGGATTTTCGTCAAACCAGGGACTTGCACTTTTCTTTTTCAAACTCTATTATTTTGGGCTTATGATACAATTGAAACAACCGATTGGATAAAATAGGATTTGCAAACAAAAATTAGGGCATGGATTTAGATCATTGAGGGTTGTACAAAACTAATTTACTATCAAGATTTATTTTCGTGGAGAGTTTGAAGGGTTAATAGAAGGTGAGAGGAGAGAAAATTAGATATTATATAAAACTTTAGCTATTGTCATATGAAATTTATATGCTACTGTATCATCAAACCTTTGTTCCATCATTAATAAAAACAGTATGTAACATTTATTTTGATACAATTTTCCCACTCCATTCTTAATATTTTTTTTGGAGATTGACCAACCCCATTGACTATCTCTGTCAGAGAGTCACTAACAATTAGCAGTAACCTACATGGTATAAGTTAACTCTTCAAAGAGGATATTGTGCGCTCGAGTTTCTATAGGAAAAAGATGTGGATATAGAATTGTAACTGCTATATTTCGGTGATCAAAACAAAGTTCACATCGAGTTGTAATTTTTCATTTAATATCAAGCCTAGGGTTTGGAAGCGGAAAATTCAAATGAAGCTACTCACGACTACTTCAGTTCAATAATGAACAACATATTAGTCAAGGTAAGTATGAGAGGCTCACTTATAATAGGTTTGAAGTTGGAAGAGAACAATTAGGGTTTTTCACATATTGAACTAACATATTGAACCGGCTGCATTTGAAATAGAACTGGTTGCATTTTTTTAGCCTAGATAAGCTCTCTGGATATTTCCAACTGGCTGTATTTTGACTTGAACTAGTTGCATTTCTCCTAAACCAAAAGGAAAGTTTTGTTTTTGCCAATTTGAAATAAATTTTTATCTGAATTAGAGGATGTCTGAGCACGAAATTCAAGATGTTTTCTAACCTTAATATGACTCTAATTCTCTATATAAACTCACATTCACACAATTAATCATGACTTTTTATTGCAAAATTCAAAGCCCTAGAAAACCTTTTTATGTGAGATTTTGAGAGTTTATTATTGTTCTGTTTTTGAGAGCACACATCTACAGATTGAGTGATTTAGGTTGTTCATTGTATGATCAGGATTTGCGTGATTGAAGATTCCATATCTACAGGTCGTAAAGCAGAATTTCTCTTCAACATCACAAATTTCGATTTTGAAGAAAAGGAGGAGAAGATCACACTCTGAAGGGATCACGTAATGTCCCTGATTTTTCGGTATTTTTCTTTTATTTATTTTTTGTGCCTCGTTTTTCATGCCACGTGGGTCCCGATGGTTGTTCGGGACATTTTATGAGTTTGAGAGTTTTGAGAATGCATTTAATAATTTTATGCATGTTAGAATTTATGGGGTTGATTTTAGAATTTTTCGGAGTCAAGACCGAGTTTTGTGCGCTGCAATTCCTCCAGGTTTTTCATTTCCATTAATTGTGGTTTTTGACATGTTATATATGTGTGTGTGTGCGTGTGTGCGCGCGCGTGCGCGGAAGATATTTTAAGGGCAATATAGGAAGTTGCATGGCAAGAGAGGGGTATTTGGGTAACTTTGGTTAAAATTAAAGTCAATCACCAAGTGACACATGGCATAATGAGGACCATATGGCCATTTTGAAATTGGCAAACCCCCTTCTTCTTCTTCCATTTTCGGCCATCTCCTCTCTCTATATCTATATACACACACATGTAACTACAATTTTCAAGCCCACAATTGAGAGGTTTCGAGTGAGATTTGACTGAAGACCAAGAAGACAATTTTACTCTACCCATCGAGGGCTTTCATTTGAGACCAACCTTGCACACATTTGGAGGGATTCTGAAAATTGACCTAGCTAAAGGCTTGTTTGACTTGCTTTATTGAGGTAGGGTTGTTTAATATATGCATTGTATTTTGCCTTTCATTGAGCCACCTTGTCTTTGATTTCATGTTGAGCATGTCTTGAATTGATGATTATGATGAGATGTGTACTAGTGTGTCTTGTATGTGCAAATTTATGTTCAAAATATGATGGTTGTGGTCCAAGGTGTTAAGTTGCTCAGCATGTTAGATATGATTAGTGTATGCTTCAATGGAAATGCTTATAGTGCTATAGTGATTGTGCATTGATGAGAACATGCTTAATTGATGTTAATGATGATGTCAAGCATGCTATTGATGGTTAGTCTTGCTTTATTTTGTAAATCCTTCATGAATGTATGATTGAATGACATGCCTATAAATATATGTGATGTTGTAGAATTAATGATGAGGCTAAATGATGTATATTGGCATTCATGGCGGGGCATGGTAGGAAGGTTGAAGGACATTTTCCAAAGGGGTTGAGTTTGATAAGTTTGTGAAATAGTTTTTAGAAAGGAACCAGATTTCGCAAGTCTAGTGCTAATTTGACCTAGAGGGAGCGCGTGCCGAATTTGAACATACAACATTCCATTAACTAGGCCCCAAATGGTTGTCTGATTTGAAGCCAAGGGTAGTTAAGTAATCTCGCCTGAATAAAGTCAATTAGCGGTTTTCGGTGTGAGTTATGTCAATTTAAGACCGGAATTGGGGATGGGAGTGCATTTCATTGCATTGACCATGCTTTTAAATCATTACATTGTGAAACTAATGTTATTATTGCTAAGTATGTGGTTGTATCCCCAAGCATGATCTTGGTTATCCTTTAACCCTATTCTTTAATTGTCGACTCAATGAAGTCCAAAGTAGTTGCCTTAAGCATCTCTTACTGAGCCACCGTACTTACCCCTTTCCTCTAATATTTTTCAGGATATGGCAAGGACGTTGGGGACGGTGCAACGTCCTAGATGTAGGTGAAGAAACCATCCTTTGTAAATTTTTGTAAACAATGCTTAGTTATAACGATTATTTTTGTAAAGAGACTATAATTCGTTTATTTTTTATAAAGGCATTGTAATTGAGACTTTAAGAGTCTCCAACTTGTAACCATTTTACTTTGGACTATTTTTGGAAACTTTGGGCATGTAAATGATGAAGTCATTGTCATACATTATCAATGGTATTAGTTTTCAGGAAAGAATTATGTATGATGATGTACATATTTAAATGTTGTATAAATCGATCTATCATGCTGACGTCCAATTATTTATTCGTGGTTGTGAGTTGAGAGAGGGCTATAATGGTTATAAGGGCCATATTTATGTCCGGGAATAGGGATAAAGCCAAATGGGGGTCAAAAATTCAGTTTTGAGGCTTATTTTCGTTATTAGGCAGAATCTTTAGTTTTGGGCTACCGGTAGCAGCAGTAGCAGGAACTACCGCTGAACTACTGCCAGTCACAGCTTGTCAAGTCATGCCCTAGCTCGCCACACCTTGCGCACGCGTGGATGTCGCAAGACACTAGTCTACCGGTAGCCAACCCTACTACCGGTAGCAGCTTCCACACTTAGCCATTTTTTTCAACTTTTTTTCCTCTTTGCATTCTTAAGTCCGGAACTCCATGAAATGTTATTACGATGGTATTAAATGACTAATGGGTTTCAAATGGAGTATAATAGATCTAATAAAAAAACCTAATGTCAATAAATGATCGTTTTGCCCTCGGATAACCTCGGACTTGGGTTAGGACTTGGTTAGAGATTTGGACCCCAGGTTCGGGTCATTACAGATCATGACATTCGTGTAGTGTTGGTTGATCTAACAACGATTCTTCTATAGAGATCTAGAGTAAGCAAGGTTGGGAGCTATTGGATGGGAGAGTCGCACAATCAGGATTTGTCAGCAATTAGTTTTTGGTAGAACATAGAATGTAAGCTTGGGTTAGAGTCGACTGTAGTTTGCTTTAAATATAGTGGATCTTTTTGCTTGAGAATGCATGAAAGCCTTTGAGATCTTCCCCTTTGGTTTCCACGCTAAAAATTCTGTGTCACTTTAAACTCATTTCTTACATTGCTTACACTTTAATTTATTGTTTGTGAATGTTTAATTTACTTTTATTTCGATAAAAATTAAATTAATAAAAAATCTAATAAAAGAGCCAGTTGAGCCTATTCACCCTTCTAGGTTGCATATCCATACTACGTTCCACTGCCATTTTGTATTGTGCAACTCACAAAATTTTTTTTTTAATGAAATGAGTGTAATAATCTGTTTAAACTCTTGAAAAAAAAAAAAAAAAAGAAAAAAAAGAAAAAAAGAAAAAGAAAGTGTAAATAGGACAGTAAAGAACCAGTTCAACAACACCTCACTTTTTAATACAATAATTTGTTTCCAAACCAAGTGGTGGAGAACTACTCACTACCAAGAAAACATCTCCACTCTTTTCATGAGAAAGTGAGATAAAATAGAACTATTTCTTTCAATACTACTTTTTATAAGTTCACAATAGAAGCACTAAATAACCTTGGCTGGTTCCTAATTATCATATTATCAATATATTTTTTCCTTCAACTAAATTCGATCATTTTGAATGAACACTAGATGTTTAAATCTTTGACCAAATTAACAGCCACTTTCTAATTATAGAACAAGTAACAAATTATAATAAATATAACTAAGCATCGTAGTTGATATGCAATGATACTCATTTCCCTTGAGGTGGAAGAGGTGGGATGCTTTGTTGACTCCTGAAGAAGTTCTCTGGATCAACCATAGCCTTCACTTTCACTAATCTATCGAAATTATTCTTAAAATACTTAACTCCAAATACTTTAGCTTCCTCGTAACTATTATTACCATTGTGATTAATGATACCAATGTCAAGGTCTCTGTAGTTGAGAAATGCTTGTCTAGGAGAATTGGATACAAAAGGTGTCATGAAATCATACATCTGCCTAATCTTGCTCACATGGATATTGTCTGCCTCGATCCCCTCTTCCCTCCAGCTGATCGAATAATGAATTTTGAATATAATTCCAGCTCGATGTGGGAAAGGAGTTTCATCCTCAGGAATTTCACTCATTCTTCCACCATATGGAGTGAGAAACAACTCTAATTTATCAGATTCCATCATTTTCTTCCAAATCGCCTCCAACCCTTCTTTGGGAATCGGATTCTTAACATAATCTGATTTCCTCTTCATAAAGATCTCCTTTTTGGGAGCCAGATTCATCCATTGAAGTATCGAGTGAAACCAACTCATTTCCGAGCAGTGTCTTTTATCCAGACCCAACTCCGGAAATTCTTTAGTCATCACCGACATCAGTCTATCAATATTTCCAAGAAACATTCCTCCAAATGATGCCTTTATGGTGTTCTGACCATTTATCTTGGCATCCACTGGCTGAAGAAGCAGCCTAAGGACAAGATCGTTGTCTATCTTATCGGCCACCAATTGCCACCGGTGAACTAAGTCCGTGGCATTCTCTTCCAAAGTCCTTTGGATCCAAAAAGTGGTCACAATTTCTGGAACTTTAACTAGTCTAACTTTGTACGCCAATATGACCCCAAAACTAGCACCACCACCACCTCTTATTGCCCAAAAAAGGTCTTCGCCCATGGCGTTACGGTCTAAAATTCGGCCACGAACATCCACTATACGTGCATCGACCACATGATCGACCGTCAACCCGTATTTACGGAGCATAATACCGTAACCACCGCCGCTAATATGGCCGCCGATGCCGACCGTGGGGCAAAGGCCGGCCGGGAAACCATGGGTTTTGCTCTTTTCCGAAATTTTGTAGTACAAATCAGCCAAGTTGGCACCGGCTTGGACCCAAGCGGTCTCGTGTTGAATGTCTATGTCGATGGAACGGAGATTGAACATGTCGAGAATGACAAAGGAGTTGTCGGAGACGTAGGAGGTGCCCTCGTAGTCATGGCCACCGCTTCGGATTTTGAGTTGGATTCCAATGGTTTTGGCGCACAGCACCGTAGCGGCGACATGGGTTTCGCGGAGAGGGGTGACAATGAGGGAGGGTTTGGGGGTGGCGGAGGTGTTGTAGCGGAGGTTTCTGATGCGGGCTTGGAGGACAGTTAGGAATGAAGGGTTTGTGGGACTGAGGAGAATGGTTAAGTTTTGGTCTGATGGGTCTAAGTGTTTCGAGAGGCATTGGAGGAAATTGTCGTGGAGTGAATCTAATGGTGTACAAGAAATGGGTTGGGGAGAGGAGAGTAAAAGAAGAGGAAGAAGAATTGAAGGCACAAAAATATATGGAGATATTGATGTTTTGTACTTCATTGTTTTCTAAAAGTTGGCTAAATGATTGATATTCATAAAATAAAATGGAAAAAAGAAGAGGGAATATATACTTGAGAGGATGTTCGTTTTTCCTCAATAAGTCCCGGTAACAGAAAATGCTATTTAAACCTGTTTACACCCCATTGTGATGTGAATTTGTTAGAGTTTTATTGGGAGTTTAATTCTCAAAAAGTTTGGACGAACAACAGAAAAAAATCAGTTGAGTATTGATAATCACACCAATTATTTTAATCAATTTGTTTAGGTCGATGTGGATGCCACATCATCAAAATCACGCGCCTATGAAGTTAATCATCAAATGACCTGTTGTACAAACTCACACGCTTTCCTGGAAAGAAATTAAACAACCCACAATGTGTGTTGTTGGATGGAGATGGAGCTACATGTAGGATTGAAGTTGGAATTGATGGCCGCATCTTTGAGAAAGTGAGAGTTCAGAAAATCAGGAAAGCCTTCAACAAGTACATTAGTTAATAGAGACTAACGTTTATTTGGAATTTTTTTTTCTTTTTTTGGGTGAAGATTTACTTTCTTCAGTGTTAGATGTAATAGATTGTTCCAAAAAAAACTTTAGATATAATAAATTCAGCAAACAGTTGGAATATAAGAAGAACAACGTATTGTAATAAGCTTACCCTTTTACCAACCAAAAAAAAAAAACAATGTATTGTAAGAGTGATAATTTAACTACTCTGTACTACTTATCTCGATTTTCTTTTCTTGCACGGCTTACTCAACGTCTTATATTGCAAAGAGTTCTTCAAATCAATTGCTTTAAGAATAATGTACTAGTAAATTTTTTAAGTTGTCATTATTAACAATTTAATTCGTATTTGCTGGTTGAAACATGTTCTCAAATTTATATTATAGTATTTTTAAAATATATGTTTTTAATGATAAGAATATTTGATATTTTGAAATAAGAGTTTGGAAGACATTTTTGATCTTAACAAAAATTCTTGATGCATTGGTAATTATTTTCCTAAATTCAATCAAAGTGATAAATGAACATTTAAAATAGATCGTTTTGTTATTTAAAACTCTAATCTTACTTATGTGGATTTTTCCCTCTTTTTTTCTCTTGTTTTATTTTTCCCCTCCCCTAACCGGTTTTGAAGGAAGTGGATTCAACAACTTTTATTTAATAGAAAATGATTAGCTTCTTTTCTGATATTTGAAATCCAAAACCACCATGATCCCAGCTCTCGTCTAGACAATTTTTCTTTAAAATTGAATTATTAGATAATTAGCTTCATCAATAAAATAAAAAAAAAATTGAACAGTTCACCATACGCAAGTTTTCTCTTATAATATAGGGATAATTTCGTAAAAATAGAATTTTGTAGGTCAAAGGCCAAAACGATGGATTCAAACTTTCATTTTCCAAATAAATGGAGTTTTATGGAAGGCAGAGGTGGACATGGAAACTTATTGCGAAAAGACCTAACTACCCTTTCTCTCTCTTTCTTCATATCTCTTTGTGATTGCCTGCTCTTTCAGTCAAAGCTTCATTTGCCTATCTTTATAAATCTCTCCATACCTAAAAATTTATGATGAACTGAGTCAAGAGCAACCATGATGGCGATGATGGAGTGTTCTTACCAACGACAAGCAAGGATTACAAGCAACAATAGGGATTGTACTATTTGTTAAGTTTGGAGATGATCATATACACAAAAACAGCTTTTATGTAAATGTTTACTTTTATCAGTAAATTACAAACATAAACAGTGTTGTTACTTTCTTCTATCTATTAATTTTCCAACCCCACACCTTCATTGCATTTTCAACACCAATGGTGTGTGTTTCTTGGAGATCTGATGACCAAATCAAATTAGGACAAATGAATTTCAGAATTCAATTAAAAATCAACAAAATCAAATCCATATACTGATATATATGGCAGTCCATAAATATAGTTCGTACAATAACATGATATGTATAAATAAAAAGGTGAAACAACTAATCGAGAGGATGGTACTATGCATTCATCTTTTCCAAATCGAGAGAGATAGGAGTACTATACACACTGCCCACCGACCCAACTGTTGTAAACATATCAAAAACACATGGCACGTCCCTCTCTCCATCACCGTCCCTGACAACATCTCATGCGACCACACCCACGCCGTTGGACCCAACCATGCTGCTCCGCCGTCGTCCAGACCAGGCTCAGACTCGTGTCTCACTGGTAAGTTCAATCCTTACTTGTCGCCTGTAAGAACACTCCATCGTCGCCATCATCGTTGCTCTTGACTCAATTCATCATAAACTTTCAGATTTGAAGAGATTTATAAAGACAGGTAAAGGAAGCTTTGACTGAAAGAGCAAACAATCACAAAGAGATATAAGGAGAGATAAAGGGTAGTTGGGTCATTTCGCAATTAGTTTTCATGTCCATCTCAGCATTTCATAAAACTCCATTTATTTGGGAAATAGAAGTTTGATTCCATCTTTTTGGCCTTTGACCTACAAAACTCCATTTTTATGGAATTATCCCTATACTATATGTATATGTAGGCTGCTTTGAGGTCATCGAGAGTGGTTTTGATGATCTTCGCTTCCTTTTATATTATATTATTATAAATATATATATATATATATATATATATATATAAACTTTATAATGAATTATTTATGTTTTGTGTATCTTATTAATTATCAAATAAAAACAATTGTTCTTATAATTACTTCATTTTTTTTTCTACCAACAATTTTACACCACTTTTTCTAATTTTTTAAATTATCTTCAAATTTTTATTTTTGTAATTTATTGAGTCTCTTTAACATAGATTTTCAACGCAACTAAATCACTATCTATTAGGTTAAAAAAACGCAAGTTATATTTCCTTGAGGTTATTACAAGTTAAGTAGAGAAAAAATTATTAGTACTATATTAATATAATTAATGTGAGAAGGCCTAATTTACTAATTTCACTTCTCGATCCCATCTACTTCAAGAACAATTTATTAAAGAAAGGCAAATTTGATTAATTTATCAAAAGTAGTTTTCAAAAACGTACTTTTGAAACAGAAAACTGTTTCAGAAAATTGGAGAGTACATGTTCTCTCAAATTTGATATTAAGTAACTTTGTTTTAGATTTCACAAGACCAAATGAAATATTTTGAATTATTTTCAGTTTTTTTGTTCTTTAAAAATAACAAAATATGGCAATGGTAAGCTGAGTTTTTTAAGCGTCAATTTATTGGTAAGGAACGGGAGGTTCCAAATGTATTTGCATAACGGGAGGATATGCACGCACAATGCACATGAACGAGTACCTAAAAATGTTTTGGAATGCAAATTAGGAGTAAAGTAACAGAATTCTGAATCAAGTGTTTTTATGCTGGTGGAGGGGTGATAACTTTGACTTCGATCTAGAAATCCAACCAAGAATTGTATGCAATTTACTTATTATGCATTAATCTTTGGTCATTTTTTCTAGAAAAAATAAATCTAAGTCACGTACTTCTGCAAGTCCAAAACTTTTTCTTTTTCTTTTTCTTTTTATTTTTTTTTTTATTTTGTGAAACATGAAATATTAAAGTTCAGTTCTCTTTTCGTCACCATAGTGGCATAGGTCTATATATATATATATTCTTAACTGTATGGATTTTTTCAAAGAGCAGTGTTGAACTACTAATTTTTATATTGCTATGCTAAATCCAAGTGGGATGACATGCAGAAAGGACAATTGAGGCCTAAGTTTGTGAAATTATTTTCACATATGTACGTAAGAAAGTTAAATAAACACGTAAAGGGGTCATTTACATAAAAAGCTAAATGACTGATGATCTTCAAACAAACCTTTGTTCCGTCATTAAACTGAAATATAAAATATGTATTTTGATATCTTCACTTACTCTGGAATTCTCAATTCACTTACTCTGGAATTCTCAATGCTTGTGGAGATTGACGGACCCAATCATCGCATCTATCACTACCAATGGACACTTGTCTACATAGTATAAGTTCACATTTTTAAATACGAGGTTGAGTGTTTTGGTTCACAATAAAAGTACTTAAATAAACCTTGACTGGTTCCTTAAAATCATATTATTAATATATATTTTTCCTTCTACTAATACAAAGGGACCTCATTTCATGTTCAATGGACTGTCACTTGATGTTCGATCAACTCTTATGACCAAACCGCCACTTTCTAGTACTATAACTGTGTAACAAATTATCACAGAATATTACTAAGCATCATCATAGATTATATATGCACTGATATTTATTTTCCTTGAGGTGGAATGCTTTGTTGATTCCTAAAGAAGTTCTCCGGATCAACCAAAGTCTTCACTTTCACCAATCTATCGAAATTTTTCTTAAAATACTTAACCCCAAAAACCCTACCTTCATTGTAACTATTATTGCCATTGTGATTGACACCGATGTCAAGGTCTCTGTAGTTGAGAAATGCCTCTCTAGGAGAGTTGGACACAAAAGGTGTCATGAAATCGTACAGCTGCCGAATTTGGCTCATATGAGTATTGTCCGCCTCCACTCCTTCTTCCATCCAGTTGGCCGAATATTGAATTTTGCATATATTCCCAGCTCGATGTGGGAAAGGAGTTTCTTCCTCAGGAATTTCACTCATCCTTCCACCATATGGGTTGAAAACAAATCCTACTTGTCCTAACTCTATCATTTTCTTCCAAATCGACTCCAATCCCTCTTTAGAAATCGGGTTTTTAACATAATCCGATTTTCTCTTAAAAAAATTCGCCGCCTTGGGAGGATTTTGGTTGAGCAGAGCGTCCAGCTTAGTCTCGTTACCGAAATCCGCCCAGTACATGACCGATTGAATCCAACTCATTTCCATGCAGTCAGTTTTCTTCAAACCCAACTCTGGAAATTCTTTAGTCATGACTGGCATCAGTCTATCGACATTTCCAAGAAACATTGATATAAATGATGCCTTTATTGTCTTTTGAGCCTTTGTCTTGGCATCCTTTGTCTTGGCATCCACTGGCTGAAGGAGCAGCCTGAGGAAAAGATCATTATCTATCTTATCGGCCACGAATTGCCACCTGTGTACCACGTCCGTGGCATTTTCTTCCAATGTCTTGTCCACTCGAAAAACGGTCACAGTTTCGGGCACTTTAACTAGTCTAACTTGGTAGGCCAACACGACCCCAAAACTAGCACCGCCACCACCTCTTATCGCCCAAAAGAGGTCCTCGCCCATGGCCTTACGGTCTAAAATTCGGCCACGGACATCTACTATACGTGCATCGACCACATTATCGACCGACAATCCGTATTTACGGAGCATATTACCGTAACCACCTCCGCTAATATGGCCACCAATGCCGACCGTGGGGCAAACGCTGGCCGGGAAACCATGTGTTTTGCTCTTTTCCCAAATTCTGTAGTAGAGTTCGCCGAAGATGGCACCGGCTTGGACCCAAGCGGTCTCCTGTTTGATGTCAATGTCGATTGACCGGAGATTGAACATGTCGAGGATGACAAATGGGTTGTCGGAGACGTAGGAGATGCCATCGTAGTCGTGGCCTCCGCTTCGGATTTTGAGCTGGATTCCGATGGATTTGGCGCAAAGCACTGCGGCACCGACATGGGTTTCGCGGAGAGGGGTGACAATGAGGGAGGGTTTGGGGGTGGTGGAGAGGTTGTAGCGGCGGTTTCTGATGCGGGCTTGGAGGACAGTTGGGAATGAAGGGTCGGTGGGACCGTAGATAATGGTTGAGTTTTTGTCCGATGGGTCTAAGTTTTTGGAGAGGCATTGAAGGAAGGTATCATGGATTGAACTTGATGGTGCACATGAAATAGGTTGGAGAGAGAAGAGAAAAAGAAGAGGAAGAAGAATTGAAGTAACATAAATAGATGGAGACATTGATGTTTTGTTCTTCATTTTTTCCTAATGGCCCAATGTTTTGACTACAGAATTCTTGAAATAAAATGGAAGGAGGAAGAGGGAATATATACTTGAGAGGATGTTTGTTTCTCATCAATCCCATTTAGAGGCAAGTAGTTAAATGTCAGTATTTAACCTAATAGACAAGTAGTTAAGATTTGGAGGCAATGATTAATTATGGGAGATTTTAAAACAATTTTGCACACCAATGAAAGGAGGGGACTGTTTTACCGTTAAGAAAATGATTGGATGGTTAGGAGTCTCAAGAACATGGTTCAAAACTGTAAATTGATTGAGGTGAGAGTTAAATGGCTTTCCATGCACATGGTGCAATAATGGATATGTTATAAGGATTATTACATATAAATGGACTTAGAGCACCATAGTTACTAAGAGACTGAGTCAAAGTCCCATAATTTCTTTGAAATGGGTTTGACCCAAAAGTTGAGGTGGCACATGAAAAAATACTGTTTGATATTTCTGTTACCTAAAATACCCTTCTTCCTATTTTATGTGTTACCTAAAATGCTCTTTTCTACACTTGCCTAATTTCAAGCCCTAATGCCTCTTTCATATTCCATTCGGTGTAACCCTCTCTCACGACTCTTTCTCCCTCACTTGTTTCCTGCGATACAAATACAATCTACCATGACACGAACAATCTTCGATCTGCTGAAGGGAAATCAAATACTCAGGCTTAACGATTCCTCTTTCCCTCTTTAATGAAACCCTAACCTTTCTCTTCCTAATTTCTGGTGTAGCGGCAATAACTGGACGGTTGGAAACAATTGGGGTTTTTTACCGTCATCTCAGCCTCCGGTCACGTTCTAACTCTTGAAATAGGTACTGTTTGTGTTGATGAATCTGAAATATATGCATATTTATATTTGTGGTATTGTTCATTAAAGATTGATACACTTTTGATCAAACCTCCTCCAGTTCGCCATCAATCGAAGCAAGTCTTAAGCCCTAAATGATAACACATGGCTTAGATTCCTTTGTCTGATCAGTAAGCAAACCGTAACTTTTTCTGTTCAATTCCTTCCTCTTGATTCCTTTTTCACACACATTCGCCAACACACACATATGTATATGTATATGTGTGTATATATTGAACATATTGCAATGGATTTTATTTCTTTTCGTCATTAATCTATGCTCCTCTGCTTTTGAAAAAAAGAAAAAACATATATAAGTATTTGATGGTGGACTTGTTGGATCAGTTTATGAGCCTTTTAGTATTAGTCTCAACATGGAAATCCAAAAAATTTGATATCAAATGCTTATAAAAAATTTGAGATCAAGTTTGGATTTTGGTGGATTAGGACCTTTAGATTTTATTTATTTAAGGTCGCTAAATCATTTAAAATTAGATAACCAATACTATACTAAAATTTCTTCAAATTTTAGCAATTTTTAAAAAATTTAAATTAGATGGAGACCTCTTAGCCTGCCCTGGACACCAAAGTAGGCAATAGTTCAATCATTTCCTGCTGGACTGAGTGTGTATCATATAGGTTTCATCATGCCATTTATCTTAATTTGCTGCTCATCATTGTGGAATGTGGACCTCAGTTTTAAAGCAAATTAAATAAATAGTGCTCCATTGATGTGGATTATTATTCTCTTAATGGATTTGTCAAAATGACTCAAAAACATGTGATCTTGGAGGCATACTTCGTTAAGCAGAAGAAAACAAAGTGCATAAGAAAAAGAAAAGTTGGAAAGGATAATCTTAAAAAGCTTTCTTTTATCTCCTAGACTCCAAAGATAACAATGAGCAGCAAGTGTTCATTTAAATACGTTTATAAATCATAATCCAACATAATAGATGGGTGTTTTACATTAATTAATATTTCTTTGTCATAATGGGTGATGTGTGAAAATCATTTGTTGGTCAGTTATTCAAATTCCAACCTTTGTTAACGATAGCATTCTCTATATATTTAAATTACTTCTTCTAAGTTTGATCTAGTGTTATGTGTGTAAATCTTTAACTAGGAATTTTATACACATTACATACATATATATATATACACACACATATTCTATTTCTTCATTCCATAGTCTTAAATATTTAACTAGGAATTTAGGAGTTAAAATTCAAAGCCACCAACACATAGGTAGTCCAATTAGTTTTTACATATAATTAATTATTATAAGTCAATTTGGATCAAGAATTATTCAAGATTATTGCCTCTTTCTCAAATGGCATGTAGAGTATACCTCTGTGTAATGTATCTTTAGGCATCTACGCACATGATAGGGTTGATGCAAAAGCTAGCAAACTCTATAAATGAGGCTTTTTTAATATATGTATTTAGTATTAATTTATCAAAAAAATGTATTTAGTATTAATTTATTATTCCAACATTCCCTTGTACTTGTCTCCCCCATTTTCAAGACTTACACATATAAATTATGTGTGTGAAAAATATTCAACACTCTGCTCTCTCTCTATTTAACTCTCAATTTTTTATTTTCAATTTATATTGTCCTATTTAACTCTCAATTCATCTCATAATCTCCCTCATCTTGTAAATATGTTTGTTGTACATATAGTGGTACAATTATCTAGTAATCAATGGCATTGATTTTGTGGTTGTATTTTGATTTGAAAAAGGTCTTTAGTGTGTGTTTAGGAAAAGTTTAATCTTGACACCGCCTATCCCTATTTGAGGGAATTGGTAGTGTTTCGCTGTAAATAGAGGTAGCCCTTCACCTGATGAAAATACAACAAATCCTTAGAAGCAAAAGGGGAGGGGCAAGGCAAATTTAAATTTATTTATTTATTTTGATTTGAAAAGGTCTGTAGTGTGTGTTTAGGAAAAGTTTAATCTTGACACCGCCTATCCCTATTGAGGGAATTCGTAGTGTTTCGCTGTAAATAGAGGTAGCCCTTCACCTGATGAAAACACAACGAATCCTTGGAAGCAAAAAGGGAGGGGCAAGGCAAATTTAAATTTATTTATTTATTTATTTTTACCAATGAACGACCCTTTCACTTACATTAGCGAGATGGGACAACCAATTGGAGAGAATGGATCTAAGTTTACTTCTTATGTAGGAGTTCTAGTGAGGGAGATGGTTTTAGAGTTCCAGTTACTTTAGTATGATGGAAAAACTATCAACTAATGACATTGAGATGTTATGGGCTTGCATAAAGAACTGAAAAGTTAGAATAAATATTTGGACTTTGGACTTGCTCCATTGATGTCTACAATCTTCCTCACCCCAAAACAACCTTCGGACTTTGGACTTGTCACTCTATTCCAACCTAAAGCATGTAATTTTCTATTCTCAGAATTAGATCCCCACAAGAGATCCTTCATCTTCTTCTCCATGTACTTAATCTGTAACGACCCGAAATTAGGGACACAAATAAAACATGATTCGGAATCCATCCGAATAAATTCTCCAAAAATCATCCAATAAAAAATTCATAGTCCATTCATTGTCCCAATTATACTTAAACAACCTCAATACACTTCCAATGCACTACAGCGGATAATTAACAACTTAAACATGTCACAAACAACCTCAAAACAAAATCTGCGCTGCCACTAGTTTAAAAATTCGTAGAAAATTCATTTTAAATTGAAATGGAGCAAACGAAAATGATTTGAAAAGTAGACTCAAAGGGTAATGTGATACTGCAATTCCCAGCAACTTAAGCTTTGCCAATAAAATCAGTTTTTTGGAAGGAAAATGGCTGACTAAGAATGAGCTGAAAATAAAGTGTTTCAGAAAACTTCATTCATTAGAAAAATATCCAGAGCTAAGAAAATTCCAATAAATTCATTTTTAGAAAGTAGACTTAGGGAAGTATAAAAATGGAAATTTTTATAAAGATCCAGTCTTGAAAAGTTGGTCAAATAATTCAAGTAAAATCTGATTTCCAGCAGATGTAAACTTCGGACAGCTGGTACTCTCAAATTTTTAGAAAAGTATCTGCTGATCCAAAAATTACGAAATTTTATGAAGAAATACTCGATGTATAAAGGAAGCTGTGATAAAAGTTTGAAAGCATTTGGATCAATACAGCTCCTTGGATAAATTTTTGAGTTTCAGCAAAATTGAAATTGAATTTCCTGTGCAACAAAACAATTTCTGATTCCCCATCATCAATTCCATCATTCAAACCCACAAGGAACATCAGCAAGAAGTCTCTAGATATCCATAGGGTAATTTAGATACATGGATAACCACATGAAATCCTCAATTTACATCAATTCCCAAAATTACAATTGAATCAAGCATTTTATGCTTTTGTGTGCTAAGAAACCTTCAAAATTTGACGATGCACATTTTAACTTATTAATCCACATAAAGAAGGTAATATTTTCAATTAATTTTTTGGCATCTTAAGACATAATCTATTGTTGATGTTATTATCTTACATTGTTTTGTGGCTAACTGTTGGCCTATGAGTTTTGTCATTACTTCAGAATCATCCTCAAGGCAGTTTTGGCTTCATATTTTGATTTTCTATTCTAGATTATGCTATGAAACCAACCCTCCTTATGGATGTAGAAATGCCACTTTTTCTTTGTTAAAAAGGAAAAGAGTAGAACAATAGTTGTAGAAATGTTAACTTTGCCAACTCTTCCATCACTCCTGTTAGATTAGTTGACATTTCCATCTGAATTTTAAAGGTAACTGAAAATAAGTGAAAAAATGGAGGAGGTTAATGTAAAATGAGGAGCATGGGCATAGACTGAGCCAAGTGTCCATATAGAATCTGTTGCAACTTTAATTTATTAGACAATGTTGTGGTCAAAACTCTACTTATCATTATCATTTATGTGGATTAAATTGCAAGCAGTTTTATGGTCACTTAACTGTGAATGTTTTTTTCTGTATTTTGATTTTTTTTTTTTTTTTTTTTTACTATGGTGCAATGGTAAAAGCTCAGATTGACAAGCGTGAAACATTAGTTTAAGTCTTGAGAGCAGCCAGTCATTGCAAAATAATGTGTC